CAAAATTAACACCTCAACACGCAACAAGCCAGCATAGACATAATTCAGAGCTCCTGCTAAGCAATAGAATCCAACTCGGCGTAAAAAGCTCAGACAAACGAAAACGATTTCACCAAAAACAATTCAATCTCGAGCTATCTCTCTCAAAGATCAACGTTTATCCCGAATTTCTTAGACGAACAAGAGAAGAACAAAAAACACACGAATACAAAGAATCACAAGACGCTAATGTATCGAGAATCCCCACATCAACCAAATTACAAACTTCTTCTCCTTCTCCTAGCTAGATACCCACATCAACGAACCAAAAGCCCCCAACTTAATTGACCAATATCCAAAGAAACCCATGAATCAAAACGTTTAAAACTCCCAATCAAGCAACTAAAACTTCCCATGAATGATGAATCAAACAACCAAAAACCCCTTAAATAAAGCAGAGCATCCAAAATCTTAACTGGAGCTTGGTTTAATTGAAAAACACAAAAATCTACTGAGACCCAGGTCAAGCTACAACTTGCACATGTGGATCATGATTTGGTGAGACAAGAATAATTATAAAAAAAAAAAGAGGGTTACAAATACACATTAGGCAATGTTTGGATGGATGGATGATGATGAATTCTCTCGTAGGTCTGAGTGGTTCTTCTGAAAACACGTTGGCTTTAGGTCTTCTTATGGCACTTTTTATTTCATATATATTCCTATGAGTACGTGTTGCAGTGTTGGTAATATTGCAGCAGTACCACATTCCCTTTTCTTTTGTGTTTGTTACTGTGTTAGTGGACCCTAAAACTAACCTAACCCACAACTGTAAACTGTAACCTTGTTTGTTTTGGGCCATGTGGTGGTTCATCTCCTTTTAACTGGGAAACTTGGTCACATCAAAGATAAGGGGAATCCCACAAGCTAGCCCACAGTTACATTATGAACTCGTTATTATGGTAATACAATAATACTCACTAGTCATTAGTTGATCGAGCTACCCAATCTGCTCTAATATCTCAAGGGATTGTCCCGACTATGATTTTTCAGGGTTAAATGAAAGGATTGAAATCATGGTTGGTATCTTTCAGCGACAATCATCCCGAACGTCACTAAAGGAACTAACTTTTTTTTTGTTTGAACTTATTAACCGTCTCATTTATTACAACATCAGCAAAAAAAAAAGCTATCAATAGGGAGTCTCATCGTCGATTTGGACGATGAGCCGGGTGACCAAAACCATTGCAAATAAACATTTAAGGTCGCGGAAGGTTCCTAATCAGATGGTAGGTCGACGGTCAGTAAATGTTTTGACACCAACCCGACTGCTGATGTAAACTGAACGAATCATGACTTATAATTAAGAACGCTTTTCAGTTCCGCATAGTGCATATGTTTGAGTATAATGAAATACAATCACATGACTACACATTTACATATCATGTGGCTCTCATAACATTATGCATTCTCATGTCTGTTGTTCAATCAGCAAGATTATAGTACATACCCTATGTTCCAAGAACTTTCAACCTATTCCCCTCCATTTCCAGGCAATGGAAGACTGAAATCAGACTCTCTAACAGGAAAAAACAACAGAAGTGGGTTTCCATTGAATGCTGCAGTTTGGGATTGTTTGGGTCACAATAGGAGGAGCTATAGCATTCTGAAGTTTGAAAAAGGAATGTGAATGAATGTGCTCATTTGGTAGTCTTAATCTTAAGTAACATATCAAAGTATGATCATGAGGGGAACACAGGAGAAGGGCAGAAAATGCTGTATAAGAACATAAACATGTACATATGTTGTATTCTTTTAAGTGGGAGAATGTCTTGCTTCCCATATTGGTTTGTTTATGAGAAGAATTGATAACCCGACATGCAATTGTAAACTGGCATGTTCATTTCTTGATAGAGAAGTGTGAGACATATGTTTCAAGAGGATACATTCACATTAGGATGTTAAGAAAAAGGAAAAAGAAAGGTTCTTTGCCTCTTTAGGGGTTTCCTTTAATAAGATTTTGATGGCTTTTAACATGATTTATGTTTGCTGTTATTTGTACATATCACATCATAATCCAATAAGTTGTTAATTTATATCCCTTGCTTTAACTTTGTAAAACAAGCTTGTTTTGCTTTTTAGAATAGCGAAAGGGTGTTTTTTTAAGGGAAATTTTGTCAAATAACGGATTCGAATTCGAAACATACCCTGTATGAGTCTACCACCGTAATCATATCGACAATGATATCATGGATAGTACAAGTTTGTTTTGTTTATAACGACGTATTATTTACGCTACAATGGTAGAAATACTAATCAATAATTTGTGTTCGAGTTGCAGTATCTTCCTACAAAAACATCAATCCCCTTTTTTTCCCATTTAACATTGTGTTGTTAAAACAATCTTGTATCTTCAATTCAAACTATCTCTTAAGCTCTTCCCAATTAGTGTCACTAGTTAACTATTCCTCAAGGATTGTAAAATTGTACCGGAGGTTGTACCGAAAAAGTCAAAGATAGGATATTTTATGCTGAAACTGCACCGGCCGATTTAGCCTCTAATAAGAGGTTTTTCTGTTTGCTATTCCTTTTGCCCAATGTCTTATAACACCAACTTCCACCTCATTGTGGATACACATAACAACAAACTTATGACCAATCTCCAACTGGGTCCAATTTTTTTTTTTTTTTAATATTTTGGGCCATAATTATGATGGGTGTATAATGGTAGTTGGTGTTCATAATACAGTCCTAACGGCTACATTATTGAGTGCCTGCCCACTGAACCTCTGAATCCAATATAGCTAAACCTTGAAAACCTAAACCACTTCCTCTCCTCATTTCTTCTTTATCTTCCCCACTAACCCATATTCGAAGGAAGCATCATCTCCAAAAACCCTAAACCATGCCGTCGAAGAGATTCCATCAACCACTTCCTCTCCCCTTTTCATTCTTATCTTTTCTTTCTTCCCCAGTCTCTTTTGGGAAAAAGGAGAGAATTTTTTTTGTACAAGCTCCAAAAAGATAACCCTCAAAATGACAAAGATTCGATTCCAATTAACGCGTTTGCTAGGAAAGCTCCTCCACCTCCCTGTAGTTGTAGAGCCAACCACAAAGAGGGATTCTAATTTGGAGGCTTCAACTTTCTGGGACCCATATTACAACAATTCGAGTTATTTGGACAAAGTAGTTAGTTCGCTAATATGGTGTCAGAGCTTTGAGCCGAAAGGGCATTGTTTCGAATCCTCATAACGACCTCCAGATTAAATCAATTGTTTACCGTGGCGGAGGCAAAATTTGAAACTATGATTGTCCTCTTCATAATATAGGAATATAATTGATAATTATTTAATAGATGCAATTAAAATTAATTATATTCAAATAATTCATTCGTAGATAAAAATAATCAACTAATACAATCATTTTTTCCATAAGGAACCATGACGAGATTTCATATTGTGAAAGAAATGCAAAAACATTTGTTGTCTACACTCTTAAATAAGTTTCTTTCAATGTATCCCACTAAATAATCATTATCAAACTGGTCGCCAATTCAACTTGGTTTTTTTTTTAATATACTCAAATGTGCAAAATGCTCTTTCTACATGTGCAGTTGCAATTGGTAGAATAAAAAATAGCGGAATTGCTGCTGTCCCTGGATAACTTCAGGGTTGTGGGGGTAAAAACCGAATAGGCATAAAGAGAAAAGATTATTAGGTCTTTATTGCAATTGGAATTTCAATTCTAATAAATAAATTTTTTGTTAATTTATGAACAAATAAAAAGTTGTGCTATAGTGAAAAATACTTTCATATCATTTGTAGGTGTTATGTTCCATCAGCCATAAAAATATATATAGTATATTTTTGGAGGCTCCAACTTTCTGACCCATTCTAACTACGAGACTGATAACTCAAGGCGGTGGGGAAATTTAGGGTATAATAAGAACAAAACTTCCTGGGACCCATTCTAAACTAGACTGATAACTCAAGGCGGTGGGGAGATTAAGGGTATAATTAATAATAATGGAGGTTAAATTAGAGGGCCATGAAAGTGAAGGTGAAATGGGAAAGGAATAATCGCTATAACATATGCCCTTTGATCATAAGGGTTGTTTGGATGAAAGATTGCGATTGGGGCTTTGTGTCCTTGTCGTGAAACACAACCTTTATTTGGATGATGAGAATGGACACAAATTTTACCATTTCACAATCTCACTCTCGTGGTATTTTTTGGCACATTGCAATCTACTTTTGAAAATGAGAGATTTTGTTATAGTAGTGTTATTCAAAGGTCTTTTGGTTTTTGATTCTTTTAATGAGATTTTCATAATTCTTTTAAATATATTATTTTTGTTTTATTTTTATGTAGACATAATACATATATGGTTTCTTTGATATGACATGAACGATTATTTAAAATTAAGGATTGTACAATTTCAGTTTTTAACTATGATTATTGGGATTGTTCGGTTGAAATTATTGTTTCTTCCCCCCAAAAATTTTATCATTTAGAAAGTCTCATTTTGGTTTAAAACTAATTTTCTATTTAATGGTTGAGGACATAATCACAGGTATATAACGTTGTAATATACAATACAATACACTTCAGCAATACATGTATTCAACACAATACACCAATTCAAAATTGAATAAACCAACCACCTTTACTGTGCTTTTTTACTAGTTACGAATGTCTTACAGGATTCACGTAGTCGATCGACGGTTGAGTAGCCATATCTCACATAGAATGCGATCGTTCGATTTCGAAAAACAAACTATTACGGATGATCATTTTATCGTGAAATCACAATTGATTTAAAATTGCCAATTTTCCATGCATTCATTTCCAACAGAAAGACACCAAGGAATCATTACACCAAATCGCACAATTTCCATTGAAACATGGGGGCTGAAACAACCAAAGCAAGAAGGACAAACCCCTAAATTTCCAAAATCCAAATCCAACATTTTCAACACATTTACATATCAGCTCCAATCACCGACATCGACACCCCCACGTCACTTTCCGGGGACGAAGTTGGTGGCGAAAGCCCACGCATTGTTGCTGACTGGATCGGCGATGTGGTCGGCCAAATTCTCCAGCGGTCCCTTTCCGGTGACAATGGCCTGAACAAAGAACCCAAACATCGAGAACATAGCCAGCCGCCCGTTCTTAATCTCCTTCACCTTCAACTCGGCGAACGCCTCCGGGTCGTCGGCCAGGCCCAACGGGTCGAAGCTCCCTCCTGGATACAACGGGTCCACAACCTCACCGAGCGGCCCACCAGCAACGCGGTAGCCCTCAACCGCGCCCATGAGAACCACCTGGCAGGCCCAAATGGCTAAAATGCTCTGCGCGTGGACCAGGCTCGGGTTGCCCAAGTAGTCCAGCCCACCTTCGCTGAAGATCTGGGCCCCGGCCTTGAACCACACAGCCTCTCCGAACTTCACCCCGTTGCGGGCCAGGAGCTCGGGGAAGACGCAGCCCAGGGCGCCCAGCATGGCCCACCTGCAGTGGATCACTTCGAGCTCCCTGTTCTTGGCGAAAGTCTCCGGGTCGGCGGAGAGGCCGGCGGTGTCCCAGCCGTAGTCGCCGGGGAACTCGCCGGTGAGGTAGGATGGGGCTTCTCCCGAGAATGGGCCCAGGTACTTGACGCGGTCTGGGCCGTACCATGGGCTTCCGGATGAAGCGGTCTTGGGCTTGGCGGCGGCCTTCCTCATCGTGACGCGGCCGTCGCCGGTGAGCTCGGAGGGGATGGAAGGGGAGAGCTTCACCGCCTTGCCGGCGAAGGATGGGGAGGAGAGCGCCATGGCTGCAGCAGACATTGTCGATATGGAGAGACAAAAAACTAAAGACTTAAAAAGAGTAAAGAGTGTTTGCTCTGTGTCTGTTGCCTGCAGAGTTGTGTGGGTTTGGATATTTTTGGGCTATGATGTTGGGTCCATATTTATATGGGCTTGGGGGACTGTGGGTCCTTATCCAGGAAGATCTGTTTATCCAAGTCTTATTGGCTGGGGATTTTTGGAGGTTTGATCTTCTTTGAGGCTAAGATAAATTAGGATTGAAGAGTGCAAAAATCTTATGGAAATGTTGTGAGGTGTCATCTCCAGCCAATGTGAGCATGCCACGTTTACATGAATATTACACCACAGATACTAGATGGATGGACTGATGGAGTATCGTGAGGTGTCATCTACAGCCAATGTGGAAATGCCACGTATGCATGAAGATAGTTAACCACAGATACTAGATGGATCATGGATAGACTGATGTAGTTGTAGTACTGTCCATTTGGGTCTATGTTGGGATCTTCCAATATTTGACGAAAATGATAATAAAAACAGCGGGATAACTAGTTTGAATTATTAATTAGCGTAATAGGGTTGGAAATGAGCCATTACGGTCACTAGCGACTCGATAATTAGTTCAAGAAAAATTCCTTTGACACTCGGTTGATTAGTAAATGAATCGGACTGTCGGTAAGGTAAAATTTCACAAACACTCGTAATATGATCTATGAGCTCGAGTGAAGCTCACAAGCTAACTAACAAGCCTCGAATTTGAGAAGAGCTGGTGAGCTTGTTAACGAGTCAAGCCGAGTCAAAAGACAAGCCAAAATTTTAGTAAACGAGTCAGGCTATTAACAGGTTGACCCGAGTTAGGCTAAAATTTGGCTCAACCAATTACAGCCTTATTTTTGGATTGATTAGGCAGGTGATCTGTCCAACTATCCTCTAACCATTTTTTAGCTCTCCCTACACTATCTTTCCAGTAACCAATTAAGGAGAAGCATCGTTTAAGGGATGCACCAGAGAAGGTTCCATCAAACACCTTAAAATACTTTCCTCAATTCAATTCTGAACTGGGAGCGCAGTGAGAACCAACTTAGCTTCTTTCACCTTTTGAAAAAGTGAAGTTGCTATCGAATATTTGTGCAGCCTCTCTAAAGGTAATCCTCCAACGACAAAGATTCGCTTCCTGATAACATGTACCCAGGAAGGCTCCTCATAAACAACAAAAGGCCGCCAAAATGCTCGAGAAAACATGCTCGTGGTAGTTCGATTTCGTTCGACAACTTTAGTGCCGCGTGCCCAGGGGGAAACAGCCCGCGCTTAACACCAAATGAATCACAGTAATGGAAAATGTAACTTCTATGATCAACTCAAGTCGATACAAATGATGAAGCTGGAAAGCAGCATTCTCTAGGGAAAAACAGGTCATCGCAAACAACACTCACTCGCTAACTTAAGGTAGAACTCTCGAACAGGACGGACATATTGATTACATGTGCTGATGCAATGTCCTCATGCAGCTATAAAAAAAACAGTGATTATTTTCGGTAAAGAGTATATGGTGCACAACATAAGGGGAAGAATCTCATCGACATTTCTATAGATACAGCTATTCTCCATCTTTCTTGGCTATCCTTAGCTTTTAGGCATAGTGCCTGTTCTACTTTTTTCTTTGAGGATGCCCACTAAGGAAACGAATGAGAAGGGGAGACTTACAACATGGCGATGAGCAATTTCCAACGGCCTTGAAGATAGGTGGTAGGTGTCAACAGCTCGTAGGTGGACAATTGACGCGTTCCTAATCCTGCGAAAAGGATGATCAGGAAAAAAGAGATAATGTTAACAAGTTCAAAAAGTTAAGTACAGTATGATCCACTTTAACACAGCACAAGAAAAGAACAAGTCGTGGTAAAGCTTGAGCATCCGTGCTTTATTCCTCAGACATATAGTTTATGGAGCGCCTACAATATGTACAGACAGCACAATTGTGTCCAAACTAGATTCTCTTCTAATTATGATCCACTTTACCGCAAGTAGTGTCGCTTGGTTTACAATTGTACAGTACATGGATCTTTTTCTGGCTAGGACAGGGACACTAGTGTTAAAATTAATAGGAACTGAACACCCACATTCTAGCAATGTGCATCAAAATCTTCAAATAAATAAGGCTCCGGAAAGGATAGTCTATTAGTGTATTCAACATGTTAACAAAGTCCCATACACAAGTCAGTACTCTGATTTGGTATGGAACATAAAGTATGCACTTTCTCGGACAGCAATAAAACGAAGCATATCTCAAATACAGTTACTGTCACTAAAGGGACTGACTTTCCAATTTCCGCAAATGGGTAGAACTCGTGAAATCCATCAGATATGGATTGTGGACAATACCGGACCAAACAATCGATCATCCAAACGACGACTTAGATGCAAGCAGGTGGCAGAAAAGTATGTGACTAGGGTAGTTGAGCATCAGACATTATCAAACCTTTCACTAATCTACAGCTTGGACAGTCAAATTTTCAGGGTATAAGTTACCCTATTCCAAAGGGAATTTTTTTCGTAAGGGTAAAGCGAAGCAGCTGCAACATATACTGACAGGGAGACTTCAAGTCCTATCCTATACACCAATAGATGGCAGGAGCCAACATATGGGCATGCATGAAAGCACGGAATCAAGAATAATAGCTCAGCAATTTAAGAAGCACGTTTGATTTTGACTTAGTGCCATACCATCGTCTATTTAGGCTGAAGATGTTTCTTCTTTATCAGCAGACCATTCTTCTTGCGCTTCGTTGCTATCTACGAGTACAGCACCATTTGTTGAGTCGGCATCCCCCTCCTCCATGGGTTCTTCGGCGGCTTCATCGTCTTCATTTTCATCCACATCCTCAACAAATTCCTATAGAACAAAGCAAATCAAATTGATTTTTTTAGGCTCACGTTCACACTATTAGAAAGGGTACTAAAATGATTGGGGACCTTTGCAGTTAACCATTGTGATTTAGCTTTTAGATCCTGTTATTTATGATCAAGAATCAGACAAAAATTTAAGGTCTTCATATGTAGCCAAAGTACAGTAACTCGTTATCAAGTAGCATTACATCTATGTAATGATATAGAGAACTGCAGACTTGAACAAGTTAAGAAGTAGTATTAAGGCCATGAGTTTATAGCATGCCACTGCAACATCTGAAGCAAGTAGTACAACATTCTTAAAATGAATTTTAGTTACACGAAGTCACGGCATAACAATGGCTGAAAACCGAAGAATGAAGCCATGACAATAGTCATTTCGCATTGACTAGAGACTTCGCAACTCAGACTACATTATGCAATCTCACCAAGTTGAAAATGCTTTTGTGAATAGGTACCTCATGATCTAGATCGCCATTTTGGCTTGGCTCCTCATCTTCAACCTGTAAGTTTCTGAAACTTTCGACAAGGCTCATGTTTGACTTGTCAGCATGGGTTAAGTAGTCGCCAGCTGGAAGATGTGTGGTTCTGCGGACGGGACACCTTGTTAAGTTAGTGATCATCAAACAGAAGTTTACACAACACACCAAATAGTGCAAGACTATTGATACTATTGTATAAAATATATTCATATAGAATTCCTTCTCCAACATAGACATGCAGGCAATTCTACCACATATAATCTCAGCTAAAGGATTCTGTTACAAAATCGAGAAAATAGCACTAGAAACAGGTCTCAACAGAAGGCATGTCAGCTGATGCTTTGAAACAACTATTCTGAACCATATAATAACAACAACGTGGAAACCATTTTTTTAATAAGACTCAGAAAACTTTAGATATTAAATTCCCTAGCTTAATATCCTTTTCCGCACATGACCAATTCTCATATGAATGTAGCACTACTTGGGAAACAATAATATGACAGTCAATGAGCGGCACAACCAAAGAAAATTTACTTCCATACTTATACAAAGTAGGCATATACCGTGTCTCGGCAACTTTGGATTCAATAGCAAGAGCAACCTGCCAGTCCTCAAACATATTAGGATACTCCTGGGGATCGGCCAACGATTCAGCAGCTCTAAGGTTAACCTGGAAGTATCGGAACTTTACATCAGAATTCAAGAACTTGAGATACAGGCTAAACCCAATGGGATTGAGCCCAGTTCCAAACAATATGACAATTGACAACAGAATTTTCATGCTTCCTATATCTGTATGTACTTAACTAATTAAGTTCTGGTGAAAAGATTGGAAAGTTTAAGCAAGCAAAACCTTGTTTAGGTCATCTTTCCATAAAGAGACTATCTCAGAAACTTTGCTTGGCATGTAAGATCTAGCCATCAACGCAGCTTCAGGTATGCGGTTACTGCAGTGTAATGACACCACGATCAACACAAATAGGCAACAAGTAGATGAGGGAAAAGAGAAGAAATGGCAAAGGTGACCCAAGAAGAAAAAACGAAATGTTCTCCAAGTAAAAAATACCTGTCAACTAACAGCTGGATGCATTCCTCCACTTTACCCATCAAGAATAAAGACAGAAATGCAACATTATTCTTCCCTTGCTCTTTAGCAAGAGATACAAGTCTTGCGACTCCTTCTGCATCTCCAAAAGAAGTATAGAGGAGTAACAAACCACTCAAATCCTTTCCTTTCAGCATGCATTCCTCAGCTAGTTCTAACTGCACAAGCCAGGGTTTAAAATTTGAACACGTGATGTTCAATACCAGCTTCATCTATGCCAACTTGGATGCACAAAGAAAATTAAGAGGATACACAGGAAATATGTGAAAGTGCTAAGGATATTAACAACCAATTGAAAATGTCGGCAGTCATTTCAGCGTGAGGCATTCAATAATTTTTCTTTTTGTAAAACCATTTGATATTTTAACATCCTCTTGTGCATAATAAAGGATGTCTCCCTTCTAACTCATCATTTCATCTCTAAACAAAGTCCTCCACAATAATACTAGAATCTAGCCAGTGTTTTTTGCAACACTTCCACAAGGTGAAGGATCAATAAAAATAGAAATAGAACATGGCAATTGGCA